GTTATGAATTGCCTAGGGGCGGCAAATATTTAAATCCGCCACTGTATGTATGTCTGTCTGTATAATGTTTGTACGGGTATCACTCGAAAACGAATACATGGAATCGAATGCAGTTTTCACCGATGTATTACTACATGTCTTACTTAAAATATAGAAGAAGAAAATTAGAGTTGCCACCTGTTTGAAAATTACGGTTTAGGTAAATTGATAAGATAAATTAAATATTGCAATATGGCTGTGAAAAGAAAGAGATTTAAGAAGGTTTACAGTCGAACAAGTTTTAGTGGAAGATTGCCACCTGTTTGAAATTTTTAATTTAATTTAATTGATAAGATAAAATAATAATGCAATATGGATATTATGTATATTGAAGAGGTTTAGGAAATTTTACTGCCAAAAATATTTTTGAGGGGGGTTGCTACCGGTTTGAAAAATTGTATTCGTTTATATTTATAAAATAAATGAAAAAAAGCTCTTTAAATCTATTTTATATTTTATGAATGAGGCCATAACAGTTTTGGGAGGGAGTAACGGCGTAAAAAAGCTTTTAAGGCGCAGTGAATCACACCGGGTATTTGCTAGTATTCAATAAAATGCAAATTTGCTATGTTTAAAAGAGGTAAAACTTGAAAAGATCAAAATAATACGAAACCTTTTAATTATCAACGAACCCTCTTGATTTGTATGTGGTTATAGAAAGTTGTTTTCCTTTCCCGTAAAATTAAAAAAATCTATTTAGCAACTTTTCAAGCTAACGATAGTGTTTTTTTTTTGTTTTTTATAAAAAAAAATCTAGCTTTCTGAACCAGATTTCTAATAAAAAGTTTGGGATAATACACAAATGCCAAAGTCAAGATTTAGATTTTAAATCAGGTAACAGGTACCTACGGGAGATAGGAAGTTGGCTTTAAAGGTCCATCACTGAGTGCCCAAAAATTGTGCTCAGAAATTATGTTAAAAAGATTCCTACCCCTACAGGACATGATTTGATCACCCCACGCCTGTACACTGTTTGCTTTTCCGTTTTGGATAAGCCTGCTACCGCACTGTACTTGACTCTGGTTAGCTTTCTGTTAATCTCACTATCGCTATTTTTTGTGACTTTGTCCTCGTTTGTTAAGATTGGGAATTCCGCATCGTCAACTGTGAGCAAGTTGAACCGATTTTCGTTTTGTCCACATTTAATGCACCTTTTCTTTGATTTGCAGGCATACTGCATGTGACCAATCCTTCCGCAGTTCAGACACTGCCTTAGAGGGGGAACGTAGAAGTCGACGTACAGTTTTGTTAAGTCAAGTATAATATACTTTGGAATTTCTTTATTTGCAAAGCCAAATTTCACGGTGGTTGTGGGGATAAAAGTTTTGTTGTCAGCCTTCCGCGTGAAGTGCCTGACCGATGAAATAGGGATACTTGAGATAATATTGGCCTTTAATTCCGTATATGAAGTTGGGATACCCCTAACTACGCCATAGGATTCTAAGGCCGTTCTCAGAACGAAGGGCCTTAATCCCACTGCCTTGATTTTAGAATTTAAAAGGAAATTGTTTGCAGACGCACAGTTCTTAAATATAATTTTGTAAAGACCGACCCTGCAGTCGGCGACGCCATATCGGCTTTTTGCTTTTTTGCTGTCGTTGTCGGCAGTCTTATGCTAATAAAAAAAAAACACTAATCGACACAAGGATGTCTACATGCTACTCACAATAATAGAATTACAGGAAAATTACTCACCTGAGCCGTTTATCACGTCTTGCGGCAATTTAGTTGTACTCCAAATTAAAGATGAGCAAAAACCCAAAAGCGAAAATGGGTACCTACTTGTCTATCTGTATGCTATAGCGTAGTATACTAGGAAAAATTAAAGTTACTGTACTTAGCACTTCACGAGTGCCTATGCGCTAGAAGCTAAATCAAGATGAATATCACTGCGCCAAACACGTCCACACTCGTTCACCGACGAAAAGGAAGTGGATGTTCGTCGTTTATTATCTTCGTTCCAAAAGATTTGCGATAAACCTCTACACCAGCTCAATTTAGGCGAGTTTCGATATAAAGGGCTCTATGAAACAAGAATTAAATCACTAAATTGTGTGTGGGCGGATCATTTCATGGCGTAAAGCTTAAGTTTTCCATTTTAGGATTGGCCAATCACCCTATCATCCGATTTTTATTAAACTTTTTAGTTCTTGCTCTATGTATTTAGTGTAAAAGTCTCAGTACTATTAAGTAAAGACTTAATCTGAATTATTTCCCCGATGAGCAGCATATTACCACTAAATTCATGTTAAATTTCTCTGCTTTTTGATCTTCTCATTCCAGGACAGCGCCGAGCACAAAAGCAGGCATAGTGAGATTGACGAAACCAATAAAAATGTAGCAGCAATGTGTCAAATGGACGAATGCACAAAATTTTTATATTAACTGATGTAATTTTACTTATACATATTTTTAAATAAACATAAAACCACGAACTAGTGCATACTTACAAATATACATTAGAAATTATTTAGTACGAAAGATGTAAAAGAGATCTTAAACATATATCATTATTCTATAAAAAAAAATCATGCATTTTCTAAAACAAAGCCTAATTATACACACATATACACGCTTTTGAATATTGTGAACCACAACTTACAAAAAAGAATAAAACAAACATCTTTGAAATAAAGATATTAAAACTTTATTCAATCTTCTATTTTAGTAACCTTCTGATATAGTTTTAATTCCATTCATTCATTTATTCCATAAATGTTTAATAAGTATGTATGTATGTTAAACGAAAATGTACACATCTAAATTTTCATAACCTCTTTTGTATATAAAGCTGTATCTTCCGTTTACCTAGCCCTTTGACGTAAATGCCAGGTGTTTTCTATGAGAATGATATTTGCAGAAGATTATGCTAAAAGCGAGTGTTTACAATTCAAGTATGAAGACCCAGCCTAACACATACATACATATGAATATGCATGCTTTCTTCTTTTTCTTGATTTGATCACCGTGTCTCAAAAGAAGTGTTGCATTGCTCCAACGTCAATTTCTGATTGTTTGACTTATGAAACGTTGCGAACGAACTTAAAGGGAATTCTTTTCATACATATTATTTCTTTATGTAAAACCAAATCTTGCTGTTGGCAAGTTTCTCCATGCTTACACAAAATTTCGCGATGAGTGTGTGTTTTAGTGTCGAGAGTTGTAGTTCCGCGATCTAGAGCCACCAGAAGACAGGCCACCGTTCGGGAAACCGCCACCAACGCCACTACTACTGCCATATCCACCACCGCCACCGCTGTTGCCTCCCATCAGAGCATTACCACGATAACCGTTACCATATCCAGGACCTGAATTTCCTCCCATACCACCCGAATGAAAAGCGCGACCTCCCCCACCACCACCACCACGTCTATTAGGTCCCATGCTGCTACCACCGCCGCCACCGCCACTTCCTCGGCCCCCACGACTGCGACCACCACCAGTGCCGGCACTGCGCGCCATGTATTCTAATTCTGGATTTACATTTTGGTTGGCTTCGCGCAGTATGTCTATCAAAGCACGTGCACACTTGGCGTTCTTACGTGTGAAAAATGCATACGATGTTCCTGAGGTATGTTTCCG